GCTTCTGCCTTAGTCTTATTGTGAACAAAAAACCCTAAATTTTGAACAGACGACATCTAGTATTTTTTTCTGTATTGTTTTTAATCTATGCTTTCTGTATTGTTTTTAATCTATGGGTCTGGTTGATATACAATCTAAATTAAGATTGAATAAAAAAATGACAACATTTTTTCTAAAACAAAATAATGTTCTGTCGAACAAACGATGTTTTGAAAAAATGATGTTTTAAGCAATCAACAGATAACGATTAAACATCAGTAAACTGACTAGAAAACTTTTTTTGTAAATTTTTACTTTAGAAATTGATTGAATATATTTAAGATACTCTACTCCAGAATGTTATCGAAATTTATTGACATATAAAAGAGAACGCTAATTCCGTTTTTTATCTCATCCAGTTCATGCACAAACAAGTATTGCTTGTCAATGTTTGTCAAAAATAAAATATTTACCTTTTCCATCTTATCGACACACTGATTTTACCAAAGGAAATGAGTCTTTGCCACAAATTCTGATTATCTAACTATTCTGTCTTTGCAGCCCCATGTCGAAGATCTTAACTATTTAAAACTCTGAGTTCTGTTAGATCAAATAATTAAAGTTTGAAATATCAAAGGTTTACACCAACAGGTTGCAAAGAAATAGGAATTACAAAATTTAACTTTGTTGCAAAGTCTCAATTTCTTTGGGTTTTTAAAATTTTCAAATAACAAGTAGGTCTTGNCCTCAACTCGGACACGATCTCATAAACTATCAATGCCTCAACTCGGACACGATCTCGTAAACTATCAATGTCTCAGCTCGGACACAATCTCATAAACTATCAATGATCAACTCGGACACGATCTTATAAACTATCAATGTCTCAACTAGGACACAATTACTCTTGCTTGGTAATTGTTCAAGAGTCTGTTTCAACTGAGTATATTTTGGATTCTAGATTCTAGATTAAGTTTAATAGACGTAATTGCAAGTTTTGCGTCATTATATACAAACGTATTTAAGCTAATCACAATATGGGTTCAACAGAGTTATATATATACGTATCTAGGTTAGGCAATACAAGATATACATATATCTAAATATATGTATATATTGAGCCTTTGCCACAAGCTTAAGTTTGAAATATAAAAGATTTACACCATCAGGTTGCAAAGATTTAGGGATAAAAAACTTGAGTTTGTGACAAAAAATCAATTCCTTTATTAGAGATATTCCGAACTTCTGCTTTTAATTTTGAAATGCTTCCAATATTTTGAATTTACGAATAAAATAAAATATATAAATATTAGGAATAATCGACTTATATATGACTTTATCCGCCAACAACCCACCGGGGGTTTGTACATTAAGTCCTACAAAAATAATGCCATCAAAATTGTTTTTCAAAATCGGTTCCAATCCGGCGATTTAATGTCGGAGAATTTACTATTTGATTCTTCAAAAATTCGAAATATCGGTTTTTTTCTTTGTAAAAACGGTAGTAACTTTTTTTATTTCAAAGATAGAATTTAGATACTACCACGGTCCACGAATTTTAAAATGCTTTTCTCACTACGTGCATCAGTTCCAACTGCCATGTAAAATGGTAGAAACTTTTCTCACTACGTGCATCAGTTCCAACTGCTATGTAAAATGGTGGAAAACTCTTGATTTTCCAAACACATTTAAAAAAATTACACGTTACACCTATTTTATTTTGGAAATTTAAACAGAATTCGATTTTGAAACGAACTTTGAAACAAAATNGGAAATTTATACTGAACTTTGAAACAAACTAAAAATTAAACGAAAGCTCACCAAAAACAAAGAAAAAAGTTTAAAACCAACTTTTTGTACTGTGTTTCTGCCTTAGTTTATTCATTTTTTAATAGTTTAAAATGTTTATCATGATTTTTTTCTTTTATTTTTTTTGGCATATGTTGTCATTTCTCCGACATTTAATCGTCAGACCTGAAACGTATGGACGGTTTTAAACTTTGTCTGATATAAATATACATTTAATAGCTTGGGAACTAAAGCGCTGTCATGGTTACTAAAAGTTACTCCCGCCGTTTACCCGCACCTGTGTCTGAATTTGAAGAATTTGAGCCGCGGCTTAAATCTGCCAAAACCGGTTTCAATTGATTACCGGCTTAAATATTGAAAAATTGAATACAATTTTAAGTGGAACCAACCATATTTGAGCCGCGACTTAAATTTGAGCCGCAACTCAAATTCTTTAAATTCGTCCTCTGAACGATTTTACCGAGAAACTAAATTTTCGCTATGAAGTCAACCCACTCAATTTAGAATCTAAAAACCAAGCTAAGAACATTCCCGTGGATCTCCTTAGTTTAACATTTTAAGCAAATCAGTTCAAGGGTACCTATGTTATGATCTGACAAACAAACAAACAGACACCAAGACACCCAGAAAGACAGATGCAGACAAACAAATATTAAAACTTAAATATAGATATATCTGTTGGATATCATTAGTACATTCTGTAAGATGCAATTTTTATTATGATAACCGTGGACAAATATGTAATTAGTGAAAAACAACAAAATAACTACTTTTAAAACTTGAAAAGCATATCTTTAAACTTATATATTTAGATTTTAGAGGGAACGAATAGGATATACGTAGGGAGAACCAGACAACTGTGCAAGATTTGTTGAATGACAAGACAGAGAGAGAATATGCGCGTAACTCCTTTTGGCTTCTGTCTCAGTGTTATTGTGAGCAAAAAAACCCCTAAATTTTGAAAATATGACATCTAGTGTTCTTTCTGTATTGTTATAAATCCATGTGTCTGGTTGATATACAATCTAAATCAAGATTGAATAAAAAATGACAGAATTTTTTATACAACAAAATAAATGTTCTATCGATCAGACGATGTTTTGAAAAAATGATGTTTTAAAGTTAAACAATCAACACATAACGACTAAACATCAGTAAAATGACGAGAAAACGATGGTTTAAGGGGTAGATTTTGTTCACATGTCACTTTTTAATTAATTATTATTTTATTCATTTTGAATGAGTTCAAGGGACTTGAAATATAATGAAGTTTAGAATGTTTGTGGCAAGGATTGAATAGGATTGAATCAACTATGGAGAGATACTGCTCTTCAAACTAGATTTTTAACATGCTTCAATGAATTCCAGGCAACTACAGATATACGGGGAAGGGAGTAATAGTGGTCTGCATAAGGCATATTATTTATTTAACGATATGGATCTTTGCAAAAACACATTTAAAGAAACTATAAACGTAGTTTCAAGTTACTTTACATAACATTACACCTTTACAAAAGTTGTGAAAATATTGTTGTGTTTCTATTCGAAAATCGAATAATTTCCATTATGGTTTCTTTGTAAAAATAGCTTTCAGAATAATACACAAGGAAAAAGAACAAAATTAATACAACTGGACATTAAGGTGTCCACGAATGACCAATTTTTGAAACTAGAAGCGCGCGGTAGATTTTTCAATAACAATTTGTAACGTTAGCACTAATCTAAATCTTTTGATAAATATTTCTAAATCTCTAATATATAAGCGCTGGTGGTAAAGTTTGACAAATCAAACACGAAGAAATTGATATATAACAAAATAATTAATTCGCTAAATTTTTAAAAAAAACACTTTTTTGTCCGTTTTTTAAAACTTTTGAGGTGATTATCTAGAAGAATTTAAGATGTGTCGACCTAACATTTTCAGGGATTACCCACAGCATGTACTGTAGTGCTATGGCAAAAGTTACCGCTCTCTTCGTGCACGCCATTNAACAAAACATTTCAATTAAATAGAATTAAGGAGAACGATTAGAGATCAGGGTGTGAATTTATCTTATGCAAAATAGTTTATATATTAATTCGAACTAGAGTTTAAAGTAATTTTCTGACATGTACACAACATTAAAGTAATACATAACAGGGACCAGAGTCATTATTTTGAAAATATTTAAAAGAAGGAGCTATGGTAAGATCGTGTATAATTTTAGTATTGTAAGGAGGACTTAAAGTTGACATAATCACCCGACTTAAGGAGGTCAACGCCCCCTTGATAACATAAAGAATCTATAGAAATTTGACATGTTTAAGATGAGTTTAAGCCTTGTTTTAGTAAGAATTATTCCCTTTTCTGTGTCTATAGGAAAATTTTTATTAACAGAACGGACAAGCCACTGCGAACTGTGATGTGCACGCTAATCACGCAAAAATATATCAATATATTTCCACTTACTCCCTTAAGCTTAGGTTAAAACAAACGCGTTCCAATTTTGAAAAAAAAACAGTTAAGAGCTAAAAAAAAAGTTAAGTGAGTAAGGCCAAGGCGTTGCGACACTTAAAATTCGTCCCAATACGGTTTATGGATCATATTATC